AAAAAAAAAATGAATGAGAAATCTTCCTCTTCTGCTTATTTACTTGAGTCCCTTGAATTGTGGCATGGTAAACTTGGTCATGTAAATTTTGATTCTTTGCGTAGATTAATCAAATTAGATCGCATACCATCTTTCAAGATTAATCCAAATCACAAGTGTGAAACTTGTGTAGAAGCAAAATTGACTAGGACTTCATTTCATTCTATTGAAAGAAGTATCGAGCCTTTAGATTTAGTGCACAGTGATGTGTGTGACTTGAAAGTCGTACAATCATGTGGTGGCAACAAGTACTTCATCACTTTTGTTGATGATTGCACTAAATTCTGTTATGTGTACTTGCTTAAAAGCAAAGACGAGGCGATTGATAAATTTATTCTTTTTAATAATGAAGTTGAGAATCAACTAAACCGAAAGATCAAAGGTTTAAGAAGTGATTGAGGTGGAAAATATAAATCGCCGTTTATTGAGATTTGTGCTCAATCTGGAATTATCCACTAAACTACAGCGCCTTATTCCCCTCAGTCCAATGGTGTTGCTGAGCAAAAAAATAGGACATTGAAAGAAAGCTGAGCAAAAAAATAGGACATTGAAGGAAATGATAAATGCAATGTTAATAAACTCTGGGTTGCCATAGGACTTGTGGGGGGGAAGCAATTCTCTCCATGAATTACATTCTAAATAGAATACCTCGGAAGAAAGTAGACAAAACTCCGTATGAATTGTGGAAAGGCCGCAAACTTTCTTATAATTTCCTACAAATGTGGGGGTGTCTTGCAAAAGTGGCGATACCCACACCCAAGCGGGTTAGGATGGGTATGAAAACAATGGATCGCATATTCATTGGTTATACACAGAATAGTAGTGCATATAGGTTTCCTGTGCACAAGTCTGATGTTTCAGATATACACAAGAATACCATTATGGAGTCAAGGAATGCGTCCTCTTTCAAGGACGTGTTTCCTTGCCGAACCCGAGGTGAGGATGAAAGTTCTAAAAAGGAACTTAAAGATGATCCTAGTGATAGTGATCAAGATGAAGAAATAGATGAGCCAAGAAGGAGTAAGAGGGCAAAGACTTCACCGAACTTCTTAACTTATAAGTTAGAAGGAGAATCTCGAACTTTTCATGAAGCTACAATTTCACTGGAAAGTCCTTTATAGAAAGAAGCGATTAAAAGTGAAATTGACTCCATCTTATAGAACCATACCTGGGAGTTGGTTGATCTATCCCCAAGCAGTAAGGCCTTGGGGAGCAAGTGGATTTTTAGAAGAAAGATGAAGTCTAATGGGTCAATTGATAAATATAAAACTAAGCTAGTTATCAAAGGATACAGGTAGCGAGCTTGGATTACTTTGATACGTATTCACCTGTGACAAAGATTATATCCATACGCATGGTGATTATGATAACACGTTTACATGGTCTGGAGATACATCAAATGGATGTAAAGAAAATTTTCTTAAATGGAGATTTAAATGAAGAAATCTACATGGAGCAACCCGAGGGGTTTTCAGCTCCAGGCCAAAATAAGAAAGTCTATAAGCTTGTCAAGTCATTGTACTGTTTAAAGCAAGCTTTTAAATAATGACATGAGAAGTTTAACATCGCTATGTTGTCAAATGGGTTTAGGATCAATGAGTATGGCAAGTGCGTATATGTCAAAGACACTGACAAAGGTAATGTCATTTTGTGTCTATACGTTGATGACATACTCATTATTGGTAGTATTGATGAGATGATTAAAACTACCAAAAGATTGTTAAACTCTAAGTTTGACATGAAAGATATGGGTCTTACAGATGTGATTCTGGGTATTAAGATTACCAGGACATCTTGTGGTATTGTACTTTTTCAATCTCACTATGTTAAGAAGATACTTGCGAAATTAGGTAAATCAGATACGAGTGTGTCTAAGACACCAGTAGACTTGAGTCTACATTTGACCAAGAATAATAATGGGAGTGTCTGTCAGCTAGAATATTCTCGGGTCATTAGAAGTTTAATGTATCTGATGAGCTGTACAAGGCCGGATATAACCTACCCTGTTAGCAGGCTTAGTAGATACACGAGTAATCCTAATGCTACTCAGTGGAATGGCATTATATGGGGTGATAGGTTATCTACGCTACACTCGAGATTATGGGCTGCATTATACCAAATACCCAGTGGTACTAGAAAGGTATAGTGACGCTAATTAGATATCTGATATAAAGGACTCCAAATCTACTAGTGATTTTGTGTTTACCCTTGGAGAAACAACTGTCTCTTGGAAATCTTCCAAACAGACGTATATATCGAGATTAACAATGGAATCTGAGTTTATTACTTTAGATAAAGCAACTAAAGAAGCTGAATGACTTTGCCAATTTCTTGAAGATATTCCACGTTGACCAAAACCTGTGCCTGCTATTTGTATTCATTGTGATAGCTAATCAGCGATTGAACGGGCACAGAGTAATATGTATAATGGAAAGTCTAGACATATCCATCGTAGACATAATTCCATACGACAACTACTCTCTAATGGAGTTGTCTCTCTAGACTATGTAAAGTCTAAAGACAACATTGCGGATCCGCTAACCAAAAGGTTAACTCGAGAGTTAGTAGAAACGTTATCAAGGGGAATGGAATTAAGGCCTTCAGTTAATGTTACCGGAACGGAAAACCTAACCTAGCTAACTAGAGATCCCAAGATCTAGATTCAAA